TTCTTTGCTGTAATGTATCTAAACCAGCTATTTATATAAAACAGCACTTAATACAACTCTAGTACGCAACTCACTGTAACTTTATTCAGCTTATTCCCCCAATTTCTTTTAGGGCAAATAGCATTCGCGAGTATATTTGGTAGTGGTATGGCGTGCTACGTTCCTATGGTCCCTGTGATGTTACATTATTTTTTTTCAAAACAGTATGACTTTACTTTGTCATTGCTGATGCAAATACAAGCTTTTGCAATGATGGCTGGACCACTTCTTGCAGGTATATTAGATTCGTCTTATTACACTCGTATATTCACTAGCCAAATGTAGATCCAATCCAACATTTAACAAACTGGAATATTTTTATATTATTTTTCCTAGGTTGGATGCGTGATGTGCTTGATGATTATGATGCTGTCTTTTACAGGGGTACCATAGAGAGGGCACTCAAGAACGCAAACACAATAATCGAGTAAAATGAACGGAGCATCGAGAAAAAAAACACTACAGTCGAGAAAATAAATGCACACTCGAGCATAAAAACACTACGGTCGAGAAAAAAACGTGATGAATTGTGGGTAATTAAAAATGGCTGCTTTCAAGTCAAGTCAAGTAAGGATGTCGTGTGAGTAACTATTTCCTCTGCTTATGTTTTATAAATCAAATTATGCAAGTAAATATCATTACCAAAGTACCCCCCACTATGTCAAGCTTGTATTCAGGAAATTTTGTAACACTCTGAATAGTAATATCAAAACTGTTGTGATTCTAGTTTCGATGTTCAGAATCATACTATGCAATGCATGGCGTTTGAATTGTGTACAATGCAAGTTTCCATAGATTTTCTATTTTGGTTTAATATGTTATATTTCTATATTTACTCAAAATTTTCTATTTTGATTGTGGTTTTGAAATTACTGTATTTGACCTTTATAAACAACATTACAATTTTAATAAATATTGTGTCAAAATAAATATTAATAAATTAATGAACTAAAAATAAAATAAACTTTTTTTATATATTTATCTATTGTAGCTATGGATATATTAACTTTAATTACTGAAACTGCAGAAGTACCAGCACACAGTGTATCAGAGGACATATTTGTCATCAGTACAGATATTTATACTATGGGTAAACCATTGGAGGTGAATTCTGATAAGCCCACCAAGAGAAACATGCTGGACATAAATATTAATGCGAAATATGTAGTAAGACCTGTAGTTCCAGGGCAAGCTTGAAACAACACCAAAGTTTGCATGGTGATACATTTTCATGCAACATGTGCGGCAAAAAGTTTGGGTTGAAATCAAGGTATAATTCACATTTGGTTGTACATGACAGTAAGTCATTAAAAACTTATCTTTGTGATTACACAACAAGCCGAAAGTCTGACCCCATCAAACTAGTACCTAAGCATGGTCATTCAATGTTTTTGACTGGGAGTCTTTGCGGTTAGGGCGTCTGTGTGCATGTGTATGTGTTCCAATAATATTTCAAGAACCAATTACCAGATTTTAATGAAACGTAGTAAATAGATGATCTTGGGATACTGCTCACACATGATTAGTTTTTGGTTGGAATCCTGTGCAAATTAATTACACAATATTAAGCATTTTCCCTTGTTTTTCATATACATTGTACTATTAAACAGATTTTAATGTAACTTGGTTCTTTTGCATGATCCACAGATCTGATTACTTCAGGGTTGAAATCCATGTATATTAATTATCTACATAGTTACACGTGTCCTTAATATGCATAACAAATGTACTGCAACCAGTGCATCACACAATGTGATATAACTAATTTATCACATGACTATATGGTCATTTTACCTCAATAATAAGCATAAATTGTAGTACTGTTGCAAATGCAACAGGGACATGCAACTGGTTCTATAATTTTGTTGTCTGACGGTATATGACCAAAATATCAAGTCATCATATATTTCATTAAATATTTATCAGTGTTCTCCCCAGAAAAATTACATACAGTATCGGTCAGTTTACATATTACAAAAGCTATGTTTATGAATATTGTATTCATTGTTATGCTAAATTGGTTCTATTGTTTATCAAAAATTTAACAGTTGGGAACCCCTACTCTATAATGCCCTGGGAAGAACCCTGTTTATAATTGACCCATTATGTTTTTAAATACTGTATTTGCTCTATTAGAAATGTTTATGGTCAAAATAAGACTTATTTCAATGATTTTTGCTTTATGTGTATTAAAGATGTACTTCTAATTGTAGAATAAATAGAGTATTTCTTGTTTGTACTTCATGCCTCCAACACCTTCATCACACAGAAGTTCTTTCTAAGCTTTCTTTGATTATTCTATTACATTTGTATGCCTTCAATTGCATACCTTGTGAAAAACATTCACATGCTCAGAAAGTTAGTTTGGAACAATTTTAATTATTTCTTATCAAAACTTACTTACAGTATTGTAATATTATTACAAAAATAAACAAATAAAAACATTTCATTTTTGTATTTACAGTCTCTTATATATGCCCCAAGAATTATTTCAATGTCTCCAGGCATGTATACAACACTACAATAAAGAAATGTTTTTGACATTGTGAAATTCTTTCGTTTTTTGGTACAAAAAACTCTGAAAAAATGATTTTGACAAGATAATTCAAAAATTTATATTAATAACTCATAAAGTGTTTTCCCTATGCTCCCATAAATATTTTTCATAATTCCCGATTACACAAGAATATTACAGAAAAAAATTGCTATATTCTCTATATATATTTTTGCCTTTTATTTGACTTGAATTATGACTGAAAGAAGCTGAATGAAATTACAAACTGTATAGTGTGTTCAACAACTCGTGTGTGTATGAACAATAACTTTAAATAAATACTATTTTACAAAAAAACGAAAGAATTTACAATGTCGAAAAAAGAAAGTCTTTATTGCAGTGTTATACATATAATTACAGAAAGTGACCTATTTGATATGGAGCACAGTGCATTCGATGAAAAATATTAAACCGGATCCAGTTATAAGTTTAAGCACTTATCCGGCCTTCATTCACTTATTTGACGTAATCCACACACTCCTTTAGAGAGCTCATCAAAATCAAAAATTCCTATTGGTTTCTGCCTTGCTGTTCGGCATCGCTTTTCACTGTCAAATATAAGTGGTTCTGTGAAATATAAAAAAAAATATTTTAAACAAATCATAACTCTGCTGTGATGGGCCAGTGTATTAATAAAGTGATGAAATATGCATTGCATAGTATGATTCTGAACATCAAAACTAGAATCACAACAGTTTGTAATGTTGTTTATAAAAGGTAAAATACAATAATTTCAAAACCACAATAGAATAATTTGATTTATAAAACATAAGCAGAGGAAATATTTACTCACCCGACATCCTTGCTTGGCTTGACTTGAAAGCAGCCATTTTAAATTACCCACAATTCATCACGTTTTTTTCTCGACCGTAGTGTTTTTATGCTCGAGTGTGCGTTTATTTTTCTCGACTACAGTGTTTTTTTCTCAACACTCCGTTCATTTTACTCGATTATTGTGTTTGCGTTCTTGAGTGCCCTCTCTATGGTACCCCTGTTTTATATCACGGGGGCAATTTTTAATGTGTCTGCGATTTTAGCCTTCCTTATGCCAGTTGTGGCGAACTACAATAAAAACATAAGGGAGACAATTCTTCTTAATATGGTGATATGAAAAATACATCTTCATTATTACAACAATTGAGATTGATAAAATTAATGAACTGAAATAATTTGTGCATGTGTAAATAAATCTGACACATTCTATTTCGCATGACTCATTTTGTTACGTGTTAGTGTTATCATGCACGGTTCGCTATCAAATAATGTTTCGTCATTCTTGATTGACAAGTTTTATTATCGGATTTGTCTTGAAAACTAACTCGAATGATTTGAAAAAAAACGACATATAGTCACGTACATTGTATAGGGGATAAATTAAATTTATTACGATAAATACAAATTATTTTTTGGAATTTTTGGCAAATACTGTTATGTTATGGCAAATTGTTTCGATGGTATGTATTTAAAGCGGGAGGGTCGTCACCTGCGCACGCGCGGGAATTGAGTCCCACGCTAAACGCAAAGGCTCATGGGTTGACTCTTGTTTGTAAACAATGACACGCTATGGCCATCTGACGCATGCGCAGGTTACGACTCTCCCGCTTTAATATGCGTGTACTTCAAATTTGTTATATACTGAATTAGTTATATATTGTTTGATACTGATAGCTCACTGTCATTTGATAACACTTGTTTCACCTGAAAAATACCCACTAAACGTAAAATAAATTGTTTAAGCCAACCAAGCTATTTATTAAAATCTGTAACATTGTAACAACTGTATTAGCGGAAATACAATTCATGATATATTATGAATTATATTCTGCAATATTTCTGATTACACGTTCACGTTGGAAAGAAATATTAAACACTGTCTTCATTCATAAAATTGCAGGCATCGTGTTTGTGTAGTTTTCTGATGAATATACTAGAAAACATGTCTTTGACTAATCCGTAATATCGCTAAACCAAAATGTCGCTAATTTAAAACAAGACATGAATGTCATAGTCCCCGTTATTTAATTATAAAATACTCATGTTAAAATAATACATGGAACATCTACGAACAATTGAATTAATGTGTACTCTATGTGGGTACAACTCATCATAAAGTGATTTCCCTTAATCTGATAACTGAAAACTTTCATTGACCCGGGTCCAAAATATCAGAGTACACAAGTGCAACAAACTATGTCTCATACATGCTCAAGAAACTGCATTCATAAATCTGAGTAAACCTTGACGTACCTTTAATAATAACTTGACTTCTTTGTTAATTCAGGTCTAGACTTTGTTTATTACCAGGATCTGGGTTTGTTCAGTATCACCACTATAATTCCCATCAAAATGTAGCCCTGACACCCCTCTACATTTTCTACTGAGATTAGTAATGGTACGACCCATCTGTCACTGATTCAGGTCATGACATCACTAAAAACCCTAGCATTACAATCTAAACTAATTGTTTATTCTGAGCATGCTCAGCTGTCCTCTCAGTGCAGTAGGGAGAGGTAGTTTTGGATGAAAAATCATGAAAAAGACCCACCTAGGATAATTGACAGAAACCTGTTCATCAACCTGCAAAGTTCCATCGATATCTGCTGCAGAATTTCTGAGAAAATGTCAGAGACGGAAAATTTAAATAAGAAAAAATGTAAATAAGAATTAACAGTACGCCTTCCAGGATGAGCCTGAAACGGAGACTAATAAAGTATATTCTCACAATGAGACTGTTGACACTAAATTGAGATCTGGCAATTCATGAACAGCAAGTATATAAATACTTATATAAATACTTAAACAGTATAATTTACATACTGGCAAATGATCACTTGTTGGTAATGGCATGCACATCACCAGTGTAAAAAGCGACTGGCTTATATGCCATAACTGAAAACAAGGAAGGGGCCACGATTTAACTAATTTGTGCAATTCCTGTCGCAGATTAGGATAATCATATTCTCGCTGTAAATACGCATACTAAGTACACCATGAATCTTAGTGTTTTAAAATATGACACATTTTTGTTCCTACTTTAATATCGCTGTGTATAATTAAACACATCAAGAGTGGTTTTAAATCGCAAATGAGTTAAGGTACAGGTGCAGGTGAATTTCTTTTTTTTTTTGCTTTTTCTTACCAGACATTCTTGGCTAGATATTGTTAAAATTTTGGAGCTTTGTCAATGTTGTAACATACTCAAAAAACGATTTTAAAATAGAGGGAACGGAGGCACGCGTATTTGTTATATGCAAATGAGTTGCTGGCCTCAGTTATGGAGCAGCGGTGTATGACTTCCTGTCCTGACGCCCTGTTTACTTACCTCAAGCGTTATTAACTAGCCTCGCAAACTACAAAAAAAAGACAAGACGTAGACGCTTCCAGCATTCAAGCGGAATGAAACAAAACATACATTTGTAAATGATAAGTAAACTTTTTCACCCTTATCTCGCAACAACTTCTAGCCTTGCAGCTTTCAGTGGTTAAATAATTTGAATTTTATTTATAATCATGTAGGAGGAAGGAACGATAGCGCGATTTAATTTAAACAAGGCCACAATTTCTTTTGTTTTCTTGGTGCATAAATTTCAAGCTTTTTCGCATGGGGGGCGAAACCTAAAAATGTTTCCACACACTTTTTACTCCAAAGGCATTTAACACTGAAGTAAGCATTTTTCGTTTCGTTGTAACGATCACCGTGCTGATAGCATTGCGATGCAATGGACAAACACCACTGCTGTTGCTGTCATCGTTAATTAAACTTTTCAAAATACACAAACGTAAAATGCTCGGTTAATTAAAAATAAAAAAATACCCTGGAAATTACAGAAAAATCGACAACGAGATGCTGTTTTTAAACACCGCGGAAAAATCATGCACTCTGCGATGCCATCTTGGTTACCTTAATCGGAAACCCCATTTTCAGCTAGCACCAGTAGCGATGTCGCAAAGTAAGTTGTATGCTCGGCGACCTCTGTTACTAAGGCACTCTATGAATGAGGTATTTCCAGGGGTCAGGGTTCGTTTAATTTTCATCGACCCGTCTCGTCTGTAGTTGAATAAAACCTGTCTCGATTTACAATAGTTTCCTTTCCAATGCGACTTCATTTCAAATTTGTTTCACCGGCGTTTGGGTGATTGAGTAGTAAAAACTGCGAATAGCCGTTGTATGCCCATTTCATCCGGGTCGTCTAACTTCGCACGGTCCATTTCACCAGGGATCGCGGATCACTATGTTTATATAACTGTATGAATATTCCAACACCTCGTTTACGAAGGGTATCTTAACAAGAAGTAGCTGAAGTAGTAATGGACCTTGTTTATTACAGCATCAACGTCAACTCATATTTATGTATAGACTGTGTTCAAAGA